GTGGTACCCTCTAGGGCTGACCTTCACTTGGGTCGCCACTAGCCCCCTCAACGGAGAGAGTAGGACTCGAACGAGTCCGAACTTCGGTAAAACAAATATCGTGTCTAAATTCGCATTTCATTTGATATTTGTGTTGCTCTAGCTGTTCTGCAGGTTCTCTGTGTATATTGTCATCTCCATTAGGTGCCTGCAGTTTGGTTTGAAGATAGAAATCGAAAGGAGCAAGTTCGGGGCCGATTTGCAGAAATCGTGTATACCGGACACGTCCGGTATTCATACCAGACACATCCGGTATTTCCTGCCTGCACTGAAAATATTTATTCTCTGTTCTAACTTGGTGTTGCAGGGTTGTAGCTTCTAGATATATTCTTTATACCTTGTTTACTTTGTGGCTAACTTGTGAGGGGTGGTAGTACTCTTAATTTGGAGTTTCCATCTTTGGAAACTCCCCTTTCTAATTGTTTCCGCATTTAAAGGTGTTATTTTTCAGAAACGCCTATTCACCCCCCCCTCTAGGCGGCATCCTAGGTCCTTTCACCTTCTCCTTCCACACAACATTAATGTAATGCACACCGAAAAGAATGTCGCCGAGGCACTTTGGGCAACAATCATGGACATTCCTGACAAGTCAAAGGACAACATTAAGGCTAGAGTGGATCTGGCAACGTTATGCGATAGACCAAACCAACATATGAAGCCTCCTAGCCGCAGCAAGACATGGAGAAGGCCTAAGGCCGATTTTTTCTTGAGCAAGCCCCAAAGGAGGAAAGTACTAGAATGGATCCAGACGTTAATGTTCCTTGATGGGTATGCAGCTAATCTGAGAAGGGGAGTGAACTTATCTACTATGCGAGTCTTAGGGATGAAGAGTCATGACTACCACATATGGATTGAGCGGCTTCTTTCGGCGATGGTTCGAGGCTGTCCCTGAGCATGTCTGGCTAGTGCTGGCAGAGTTGAGCTATTTCTTTCGCCAGCTTTGTGCCAAGGAGTTATCTCGGACCGTGATTGCTGACTTGGAAAGAATGTCACCTATGTTGCTCTGTAAGTTGGAGAAGATCTTTCCACCCGGCTTCTTCAATCCGATGCAGCATTTGATTTTGCACCTCCCGTATGAGGCACGAATGGGGGCCCCATGCAGGGCCGTTGGTGCTATCCAATCGAGAGATGTCTAAAGGTTCTTCGAAAGAAATGTAGAAATAAATACAAAATCGAGGCTTCCATTGCAGAGGCATACATTCTAGAGGAGGTGGCGAACTTCACAACAACATACTATGGTGACAACCTCCCTAGCGTGCATAATCCACCCCCTTGTTACAATGCTGGCGAAAATGAATCGAACCTCAGCCTTTTCCGAGGGCAACTCGGAAGCGCAAGTGCATCGACCCCCAAGACCTTGAATCATGAAGAGTGGCGCCATATCATGCTATACGTGTTGACCAACCTTGATGAAGTGGCACCGTACATGCAGTAAGTTCTCAACGAACTTGTTAAATACGCCGTCACTATTCTGCATCTAACCCCCTGTTTCTCGTTGGTACAGGGAATTTCGTCATGAATTCTGGCGTCAATCAAGGGATCCTACCCCACAGCAAGTAGATACCCTTCTTAGACAGGGTGCGAGAAATGGAATGCCCGATTTCATTTCTTGGTTCAAATGGAAGGTACCGTCCAATTTAGCTCGTACTTAGTTTGACATTCCAAGTTACTCGTACGTGCGAATAATATAACGATGTATCATGCTTGAGCTTGCAGGGCCAGAGGGATGCGTCTATGCGTGATGAGTTGAGACAGGTTGCCGATGGCTTTGCCTATAGGGTCAGGTCATTTTCCGGTTATGACGTGAATAGATATCGCTTTCGCACAACAAGCTATGAGCAATTTCGGCCCAATCGAAGAACCACAAGTTCCGAAGTTTTTACGCCCGGCGTTGATGAGGTCGAGTATTATGGAAGAATTGAAGAAATATACGAACTCAAGTTTCATGGTTCCAAACCTTTTAATCCTGTCATATTCAAATGACATTGGTTTGATCCTGAAGTAACGAGACAGACATATTCTAATCTTGGGCTAGTCAAAATTCGACAGGATTCCGTCTTACCAGGAGACGATATCTATATTGTGGCCCAACAAGCCACGCAAGTTTATTATCTCCCATATGCGTGTCAAACCAAAAGTCATCTTAAGGGTTGGGATATTGTGCATAGGGTATCGCCACATGGTAAAGTGCCTGTCCCAAACGATAAAGATTACAACTTAGACCCAAACACATATGACGGAGAGTTCTTTCAAGAAGAGGGACTAGAAGGGAGGTTTGAGATAGACTTAACCGAAGCGATCGGAATGAAAGTAGATAATGAAACGGTTATTGAAGAGGACGCTGGAGATGAGGTGCAAAATGTGAAGGACTTACAAATGCTTGAGCGATTACATTTAGACAATGACAATGGCAACATTGCTCATTCGGATAGTGTTGATTATTTCGACATGATTGATAGTGATGATGAGACTTATGATCCAACTAATCCCGATCATGAAGATTATTTCTAATCCATATAATACTATGTTATTTTGTAATTACGTTTTGTTTATTTTGCATCTCTTTCTAAGTACTTCTTGTTTATCTGTGCATATTGGTTTACTCTTTTTAATTGCAGGTGATTGAACAAAGGTGGTGGGCGGTGGGATGAGGAAGCTAGGTGATGATACTTGTGGTTGTTAATAGTACTTCTATTTGTAATTGTGGTTGTAGATGATGGAGCACTTGGAATACTTGTGAACTTATTTGTGATATATTGTGAGACATGTGACGTTTGTGATATATATGTTGTGTTGGATATCTGTGCTATTGATGATATATATGTGATGTTGGTTATATATATCTTCTGTTTGTTTGGATGGAATGTAAAAACAAATAAAAAAGGTTGTTTTCAGTCACTTTGCGAGTGCAATGACCATGACACTCGGCAAAGTGACGACCCGAGAACATGCCTGGGAACATGCTTTGCCGAGTGCACATGCCATTGCACTCGGCAAACATCACAGATTTGCCGAGTGCCACGGGCCAGGCACTCGACAAACATCACGTCTTTGCCGAGTATCTTGCCTGCGGCACTCGGCAAAGAAGCCGCCTCCGGTAGTGTATATTCACTTCACATAGATAATACAACAAGTAAACCATGGCATAAGTGCATGATCAAGGCAAAAGTAAAGCATAGCGTTGTAGCATACTTAAAGCATGCAAAACTATACGAAGTAAGCATGTCATAGTTAAAGTAAAGCATTACACAATATGTAAAACAATGCATGACACAAATATATAAAGGAATGCATGGCATGTGGGCACGACTTAAGGCATGTTACAAGTATGTGAAGTGCAGCAAGACATGGACATATATGAACTAAAGCATGGTATAGGAACATATGACAATAGTTAAGTGCATGTGCTTGCTGAAAATTTTCAGATCGTAGGTCCAACAAAATGAATCTGAATGAAATAGGACAAGAAATATATCCTATCGATTGTTTGTTCTCATTTGGTTCTAACTACTTTCAACTCTCAAAAAACTGGTTGAAAACACCTAATCCTAGCTCCTATTTTACCAATTCTTATGGAAATACTCATAATAAGAAGGTGCATCGGTGTGGCTTTACAACAGTGATAGTTTACCCTTGACACTGATGCCTACGTGCATCTATAGATTTACCCTGTTTTTTTGCGAAAAGATTTACCCATGTGGTTGTAGCGCACATGGAGCTCGACATCGAAGGAGATACGGTCACAACGTTGTAAAGCACCCCATCGACGAACATCTTATAGAGAGGAATGATGCAATAATGTTTGGAAAAAGGCTGTGGCCAAGACATCCAAAGGTGGTGATGTGTTGGTTAGATTCATGTCAAAGGCTCGATCTTCTCAAGCCGACTTGAGAAAGAAGACAAATTTGGAGTTTAACAAGGTTTTAACAAAAAGTTTTGACACGGTTGGATTCTTAGGTCGTTACATCCATCATCCACTAGCATCATATCGACCGACAACGGTCGTAGGCCTCGCTTCGGGGTCGAGTTGAGGTAGGGGGTGTCCAGGCGGCCTCGTGGTGGGGAGGGGCATCAAGGCAACCAAGCAAATGAGGTAGTGGTCCTTGGGGAGGCCAAGTGGCAATGGAGGAGTAGCGTGAGGGAAAAGTGCGGAGGCTAGGAAGGGGCGGCCAAATGAGGGAGTTTGGGAGGGTGCCATCGGTTTGGGGAGGGGGTTGCTTTTTATTATTATAGAGTTTTCTATGGAACCAATTGTTAAGGGGTTGTTTGCTAAACATATTGTACTCGTGCCGCACTGCGGGCCGAGGTGGTGACCCAAGCACGTCACAAGCCATCACGTCGTGTGGTGTTTAATCGGGTTGTGCCTCGTGCTATCTGTTCCCGGCCCATCTTGCCGGTTATTGATAGGTAGACATGTTTGGTTTTTAGAGCCTCCGGATGCGGTTTGTAATTCTTATCCTACTGAATAAATAAAGTCAGTGCTCCCTAAAAAAAGGTACAGCTGAATTTCTAGATAAGTTAATGCAGAGGAAAACCTTCTAGTTTTAAAATTTTTAAATCCTGCTTTTACTCTGAATCTCATATATATAACAAACTTGTTTTTTTTTTGTAACTCCCAATAAAATAATTGGTAGCAATTAGACATGGAGAGAGGTATAGTACACATCAAAAGCTTATTATACTCTTTCTTCTAGTAACCGCTCAGTGTTGCAAATTGCAATACAGTGTGACGACTGGCTGGGCTGCCGCTGTTCCGGCGATCACCCTTCTCCATGACACCTAGTTGGTTACTAGCTAGTTACTATAGACTCCTTGCTCAGACAAACTATCTAGTAGTATTAAATTACTCCATGTATGTTTTTAACCTCTGATATATGTATCAACAATGTTCACGACCTGCAGTGACCTTTTTTTAGTCTTTCTGGGAGTGAAGACGACGCTCACTGAACTAGTAGCTACTACTAGTTGAAGCGGTTGAGGAAGGCGATCATGTCCTTGTAGACGTAGTCCTTGGCGCAGACGCCGATGATGAAGTCGAGGTGCGCGAACTGGTCCAGGTACTGCACCGTGAGCTTGTCGCGGTCGTGGCCCCGGAGGTCCTGCAGGAGGAGGCGCACGTCGGCGGGGTCGGCGAGCGAGTCCCGGCCGCCGTAGCTGAGGAAGAGCGGGAAGCCCGCCGGGATGCCCGACATCCGGTACACCGGCGGCTCGGCCTGGCCGTAGCTGGCGATGTTCCGCTCCGGCAGCACGTAGTCGTACTTGGTCAGCACGCCGTCGCGCACGGCTGCATGCATGCCGGTTTCCGGCCGGTGCGAATTAATTCTTTTGACGAAATTTAGCATATATTCGTACTGTGCGATTGAAGAACTACGGAGAAACTGAAGGTTGTTCGTCATTACTTTGAGCGAAGTGCACCATGGTTTTGGTGGAGGCCGGCTGGGGCTCGTACTTGAGGAAGACGTCGACGGCGGAGCTGTTGAGGCAGTAGTTCTTGCCGGTGACGGAGCCGAGGAGGTCGTAGCAGTTCATGCCTGGCCGGCGGCAGAACGCCCTGATCAGGTTCGTCACCGGCGGCCTGCGCAGTCAGCAGAGCAGATCATGGAAGGCAGCAGGTCAGCTGCACTGCACACGATGGATCGAGTCCCAAACCGGAGAAACGAATCTGCAACAGTGCATGTACGAGGATGCAGTACGTACGCTAGCGGGTCGAACTCGGCCACGCCGAGGAAGTCCGAGAGCGCCTGTCGGACAGTCAGATCATCAGAGCAGAGTTCGCTGCGTCAGACCAGAGTATGTATGCGAGCAAATATGTTACCTCGCCGACGAAGGCCTTGGCTAGCAGGATGCCGATGGGCGTGGTGATGTGGGCGAGGTAGGCCACCGGCGTGAGCAGCGCCGCGGATTTCAGCTGGTCCACCACCCGGCCCTCCGAGAAGGCCGCCAGCGCCACCAGCGTCCCCTGAAACCACAAGCAGAGACCAGAGAGAGAGAGAGAGAGAGGTGTTCAGGCCTTCACAGTCTTCAGACCACCACAAAACAACTCTCTCTGAACTCTGAAGAAATCACAGGGAAGTAGGGACTGGCCGTACGTACCATGGAGTGTCCGATGTAGTGAGGCTTCTGCCCTGTCTGTGTGTTGACGAAGTCAACCATGGCCGGCAAGTCGTTGACCACCAAGTCGTCCCAGGACCAGTTCCAGTAGAGCTGAAGAAGTAGCAAGCACCTAGTGTGAGTGCCAGTGGAACAGTAATACGCAACAGATGCCAGAGCGATGCAACCAGCTTGTTATTACGTACCCGGCTTGAGGGGTCGAGCGAGACGTGGCGGCGGCTCCAGCGCGTGCCCCTGTTGTTGGCGATCCAGACGTCGAAGCCGCGGTCGGCGAGGATGAACGGCAGCGACTCCTCTGGCGAGGCCAGCAGCCATGACATGCCGTCCTGCACCAGACGATATGCATATCCGTCAGCATCTTCTGATACATACATACATACATAGCGCTAGTAGCTAGCTGTACGTATCTGTAGCGTACAAAAGACCGTAGCACGCAGCACCAAGACAAGCGGCATCTGTCTCGATCTGGGCACTGACTGGAGTGTTCTGGATCCGGACTGGACAGCACGATCGCACCGAAAGGATGATTGGTGTTGGTTGTTGCCTACGGAAGGCAAGTACTGGCAGGAGCAGCAGCACCAGGCACGTACGTATATATTCCTTGTTTCCTTTTGGCTTTTGGGAGTATCTCACTATCTCAGTTACTCTTTGCAGTACTGGCATACATACAGACACACAGTCTTTATGTCGGGCTGTAAAGCTAGCGAAAAGCCTAAAATCGGTGGAACAAAGAGGAGGTATGCACTAGGCAGGCAGCTGTAGCACGCTAGGAAAATGCATTGCACCGATATGATGCACCGGCACATGAAACGGTTGAGCCATTGGTGCCAAGCACATGAAACAGAGGATAAACAGATAAACAAAACGAGAGAACAGAAATAAACAAGTGTTTGCGCCATGCATGCACGCGTCGTACCACAAGGACCCCATGCTGCAGGAGCACCGGCTGCCCCGCGCGCGAGGAGGAGGCACCGCCACCGCCACCGCCGCGGCCCCTCGGGATCCTTTGCAGGCTCAAGATGTATCCGTCCGCCGTCGTCACCTGCATACATACGTACGTATCCACTTATCCATCTATAAAGTCAAAGGATATATACACGCAAAAACCTTCTATCTTTTTTGTCTTGTTTTTTTTTTCACGAGATAGATAGAGGATATGATGATGCATGCAACCGTTTGGATTTCGGACGATACGCTTCAGACGGCTGACGACGGTGCGCCATGCACGGTCAGGTCAAGGTCAAAGCAAAGAAGGAGGCGGACCTGGTGCTCCTCGCAGGGGTAGCCGAGCGGCGCCACGGCCAGCGCGCAGGGTCCACCTCCGCCGCCGCTGCCGTAAGGGTGGATGACGCGCGCTCCGACGACGACGGCGAGGCTCAAGGACGACGACAAGAACAGCAGCGCAACGGCGGCCGCCGCGGGTGAGAGGAGGAGGCCCGGTCGATGCGCGGCAGTAGTGCCCATGGTGCTGCTAGTACGGTGGCGGTCGCCGGTGGCCGGTGCACGAGGTAGCTGCTTTGTGCGCGTAGTGCGATCGAGACGAGCTGAGCAGACGCGTGCAGCGCGCGCGTATTTAAAGTGCGCGCGAGGCGGCATGGATGGATGGGGATGGATCAGACTTCAGAAGCATTACTAGTAGCTCAGATCACAATGGGGTGCAACCGTGCAAGGCATCGCGAGAGTGTACGTGTGAGCGTGAGAACCGTATCGTGGTGTGTGCTTCGCTTTTTCGTCAACGTGACACCTTCTTGGTCGTGCTTCTGGCATCATGGCATCGCACGAGGCGTGTATCCACGCACTTTAGTAATTACTACTCCATTACTGCCTCGTTTAAATTGTGAAGTTGCGGTAAAATACCGCGATGATGGTACGGCCTCCTGAAAGAACAAAAGATCAAAGAGTAGCCGCTGCATGCATAACTGAAAACTAAACAGAGATAATGCTATTTATTGGAAGGTCGTTTTCGTTTTCACTCTGAGACCGACTTTCATTAGTGTATTCAATGCTGTATTATTTTTTGCATCGTCTAGGCGAATTGGCGATGCGATGCAAGTGCGTAAATTCCTTCGGCAAACACTCGTCCTAGCTAGTACTAGTAGCATGCAGTCGTGTACATGCAGCAGGACGGACAGTTAAGAATTCTCCTTGCAGTGATACTCTGTTGCCGCGACAGTGACGCAACGGGTCCCATTCCACATTTCCACACCATGCAGCACGGTCGGTCGGGTCAACCGTTGAAGCCTGGTCTAACAGTGACCGCAGTAAATGCTTGTGGTAGAATTAGGGCACCATAACTAACTTTTATCATTTTTATCTATTCTAAACAGTAAGGCCCCGTTCGGCTTACCTTAAATCCGGCTTGTTTGGCTTCTTTTTTTCAGCCGAAACAGTGTTATTCTCTCATAATATTTCAGCAAGAACAGTATTTTTCAGCTATTTTCAGCCAAGTTTCAGCAAGACGAACGGAGCCTTGTCATTCTCGCTTTCCCCAGACATTACAGTAATTTCAAATGTGAAGAAGTAGTACTCAATTAAGGGCCTCTTTGGCACGGCTTATGCCGGCTTCGACTTCATCTATTTTGCGTAAATCGAGGCACTGTAGCGTGAAGCCGTTTTGTAAGCCGGGGTTAAAATGAACTAGAAGCCGGGAAAAGCTAGTTTTTCTGGCTTCATCGGCTTTGGCTTCACCGGTGAAGCCGTTTTGGATGAGCCGTGCCAAAGGGGCTTAAACCACACTACCGTTGCTAGAGTACATTTGAGTGATTTGATTTATCAATGGACGGATGACGAGAGGCAACGTGTAGGTGTAGGGCGCCACCATGCATGTACCACCGTTCGGAAATTGGAGTTCATGATTATAGGTGCATTAAGCAAATATGCCTTTTTCAGCTGCATTACTACACATACTAGTTTGGTGGCACGAAACCATTTGTAGGGGCCGCCAAATAGCTTATCTCTACTCTGTGTTTCATTCAGTCGTTTTGAGAGATCGATTTCTAAAGATAAGTCAAAACCGACCGTCTTTAAAAATCGCTCTACAGAATTTGTAAATCAGCCTAAAAATAGTAAAAAAAGAATAACCTCGGGAGAAGCCCACCAGCAACCAAATATGCGCACCGGATTTTTAGAGGTGGACTGACTGAGAAATCATTTTTAGAGACGAATTTTGATAGGGCCAAAAGGGGAGGAATCTCTGAAAATGAGGTAAAGTAAATTTTGTCCATAAGGGCACATGCTTGATGTGGACCACACACGAATCTCAGTACGAATCTTGTGATCCACAATGTGGGGGCATGTGCCCTTAAGATAAAAAAAAAACTGTGTTCCTGAAAATGACTCTTGTGCTAGTGTTGGTACATCTAGAGTGTTGGAGCAAAAGACAACAATGTTGGCCCTAAAGAACCATAGCCATTAACTAGTGGCTTATGTACTGGTGGAGCAATACACTTACTATTATGGCTTATCCGGTTATCCTACCAATAATCCTATATTTTCGTAGCTATAGACTGTGCTTGTGCTATAAGTGTGAGATATGGCCACAGAACGACACGATTGGGAGGGAGATGCACAATTGCAGGTCGGCAAGCAGAATATGGGCTAATAATATAGACTGTACATATGGAGTGATGGAGTAGTAGCTTCGCTCAGATCTCGACAAGGTAGTGTTCGCCTGCTGCTGCGAGCGTTTTGCCGCTACCCAGCTAATGGGCACACGTAGAAACAAGTTCAGCCGTCAGCCAACGTGTCGTAGCATATATGGGAGGACGATGGCGTGATCAACTCCGTCTGGGACTTCATCAGGCTTTCGTTGTGGGTTCTGCTGCTTGTCAGCATCCTCTCGACCACATCCACGTCCAGTACGTACACTACTGATCCGCACATCTAGGCATCCCACACGGCTTCTTGAACATGCAAGCACGCAGGCAGCCTTTCTGAATTGGGTTCAGACGCGCGCCGCCGATGCCGGAATCGGAAGGCCCCAGGCCCCAGCAGCAGCCAGCTCCAAGGGAGAAGTGAGAAACGGACATGCCGTCCATGGCTCCATGCTCGAAACGGACATGCCATCCATGGCTCCACCAGTACTCGTCGTCGTCGGGCTCTGCGAGGAGTCATCGATCATCTTCTGATCGCGTCTTTTCTTGCGAGAACAAGGCTTCGAGTAGCGCTGCATGTGCCGTCTCGGTAACCCAAGGCACGTAGCGCGATGCAGGCGGCATGGGGGCCGGCAGACGGCAGTCATCTGCCTCCACCTCCCCCGTTTGGCTTACCTTAAATTCGGCTTGTTCGACCTACTTTTTTAGCTGAAATAGTATTTTCTCTCACAACATTTCAGCCAGAATAATGCTTTTCAGCCACTTTCAGTCAAGTTTCAGCCAGCCGAACGCGGCTTCCAATCCTTTTGAGAAAAAGGGGGCCGGGGCGACTCGAGCATATGCGTTCGTCAGCTCAAGTGTTCACATCTGCTTTATTTATATTGCTATGTGTATGTGTTGTCTTTTATGCATTCTTATATGGTGCGTGTGCGTCAGATAGTGCTTGAGTCACTCAACTGATTTCAGTGCCCCGCTGTGCTGGCAACTGGAGGTGGCTCCTTTTGTTGTTGCAGCACTAGTCCAGTGCCTCAATTTTGTAGAGTAAAACGTGTAATCCCATTGGCATTGGTTAGTGCACTGGATCCATCGCTTATAGATTGGCCAATACATGCAGCATCTCCTCCCACGGAAAATAAATGACTTGACTTGGAAATGATAAGCCAAATCACCTTTTTTTCCCCTCACTTCTCCTGTACTATAATACTATATCTTATTTTTTATTAACTTTTTTGAGGACAGGAGGGGCTTACGCCCCTACTGAAATTTATTGAAAAGAAAAAACAGAGTACAGAGTACAAAACAAAAGGTTCAAGTTCATGCAATATGTATTCTTGTCATTATTTGACTATAGAAAAAGAGTTGTAAATTACCACTTGTAGGTTGTTCTATTAATTATACTAGTTAGTTGTCTGAAAATTCAGACACCAGAAATATAACAACTACCTTTTGTCTAAACCAGCCTCATATTCGCGTATATCGTCGCTTCTGTACAAAAAAAAGGATTCGGCATTCATGCGTACCCTAAGGTTGACATTGACAAGCTGTAGACGGCGAAATTTGTAGCGCTGAGCTAACGCGGTCTCGTCTCGCGTCAGTGGTCCTTCCAGACTCCTACTTGGTTGAATCGGAAAAAAAAAAAGAAAAAAAAAGACGCCTACTTGGTTCTTGCGTTCCAGTCTTCGAACGGAATGATGGCGAAGTGCTAAAAGTTGCCAGCTTCCTGAAGCTAACTGAACTTCTTCTCTTCAGAGTTCAGACTTGCCGCATCACAAGAAGTAAGCAAAGCTGTCGTCAGTTATGGAATGGACGTCAGTACCACTTTACCAGGCACCAGCCATGGGATATGGATGGGTCGGTCCCCCGTGTCCACATCTGTCGGAGCTAGCAGACTGCAGACTAGCAGAGGTCACACTCCTCTATCCTGCAGCAGTGTGTCTAGCAGTTGAGCAGTGCAAGCAACTGCCTGGTCGTTTTAAGAGTTTCTCCAGGTCCAGGCCGTCAGTTCTAACTTCGAAGCTGGCAACTAGTAAGGGGAAAGAGGAATGAACAGGACGATAGATGCTCATGCTCCGTTTGACGGGCTTATCCGGAGGATAACGGAAAAAAAAAAAAGAGGATCACGTAGGAGTGCTTTGCTTCTTCTCTTCAGAAGCAAGCAAGCTGGTAACGGAAAAGGGCAAGATTCTTGCACTCTTGCCATGACATTGGAGTGCTACATTGAGCTGAGATTGGCTTTGATTTTGAGTTCTGACGGTGGTGCGGCGGAGTGGACCACACACCACACACGTCGACATGCCTTTAGCCAGTCTAAGGCCACAAAGACCAAATAAAGCGATTTCGTCTCCAGGTTTCGGCCCAGGTCATGCGCGTCATTCAAAGGGCGTGGCAGTCGGTTTCGGTCCTAATTTTGTCCGGCCCAAGCGTCGAGCTCGGCCCGCTCGATCACTGGGCTTTCCGTTCTTCCTTGCTTTTTTTCGCGAGCGGGATTTTACCCGTATTTCATTAAGAGGGGGGAGTTTAAACCACAAGTACAAACGGTTCGGGCGGCGAGAAGCAACCCAGAGTCGAGCAGAACAGAGCTAGACTACCGGATACGCTAAAAGTTGTTACATGGTTAAAGGTTGGCGCGACCAAAGCTCGGGCAATGCCACAAATGGCATGAAACCACCAAGAGCCCACTCCTCCCCTTCATGGAGCACAGCGCGCACGACGTCGAGCACGTTCAAGGCTGGCCTGCCGAACACCCTACCGTTCCTCTCCTTCCAGAGGGACCAAGGGACCAGCAGCAGCAAGGAGTCGAACAACTGCCTGTCCGACGAGACGGTCCTTGATCGTTGGCGCAACCACCACGAAGCGACGTCGACGTCGAGC